TGGCAGACAAGTTTATCTCTGCTGTTTCTATTCACTTATAAAATACACGTTGCTGTTAAAAACCCTGTCTGGAATTATAATGCATCTGCTTCCAGCAATTTATTTTAAACCAGAAGGAATCTACTGATTTATAAGCAGGCACGTTTATCCCTGAATGCTGTAGCTTGAAATAATTATTAGTTCATTGGGGATGTTAACTACATTGCAGACTTCGGTTCCTGAATAAGAGTTCGCCAGAGAGAGGAATCTGAGAATCTTAATAAGGACAGATGGCCGCCAAGGGGACGAAGAAAAAGTAAACAAAAATATGTCTCCCTTGTGCCTCTCCAATTAGGATTGTCAGTATAGCTTGTTCTTTTGCTTGGTCTAAAAGTGTGTACCAGTGTTTCCCCAGTCTGAACCAGTGAAGCTTTCCCGAAAGACAATATGGACATACTATTCACCTTTCCTTGCAGTGTTGGGTGTATTCACTTCACACAAGGGTATGTTCATTTCACACAAGGAGACCAACAGGCCTCTGTAAGCCCTATGAACATGACCCAGAATCCTCTGCAATTTCATGCAGATGTTCAAGGGTTTCTCAATAAACAAGTCAATATAGAAGGTGGGGGCTCACCTAGAAGTAATTTTACACATCACAGGTGACCAAGTAACACTAGATTCCTGCCAATGTGTTAATTTAAAAACTTATGGAAGGGAAATTGTGATCAAAATATCCTTGTGTCTCCTGGTACAGTGCAGTGACTAAGAGAATGATCTGTGATCCAGGAGGTCACTGATTCAAACCTTCCCTCTGCCACAAATTCACAAGGCAAATTTAGATAATCTACCCTCTCCCAATCCCTACCTCTAACAGCTGGCTTTCTATACAGAACTATTGTTAAGGATAACAAGATAATCATAACATCACAGAGTTGGAATGCTGTCTCCTCCAGTTTTAGGCTGTCTGCTACAGCTGCCATAGCAGCCTGAATAGCCCAGACTAGCCTGAGAGTGTCACAACTTGGAAGCTAAGCAGGGTTGGCCATGGTTAGCATTTGGATGGGAGGCCACCAGGGTTGCTATGCAGAGGAAGGCAATGGCAAACCACTTCTGCTAGTCTCTTGCCTTGAAAATCCCAAAGAAGGGCTGCCTTAAGTCAGTTCTGACTTAACAGTACTTAATTATTCCAATCACCTGGTTCAATGCAGGAAGTCCAAAGCTGGAGCACCTCACATACATGACTGTCCAGTCTCTGACAACCTACAGTGAGGAAGAAGCCCCTCTCCCAATATTTGGTTCCATTATTGGACCATTTGTACCATTAGAAAGTTTTCCTGAATGTTCAACTGAAATCTGCCCTCCTGGAACCTGAAGCCCATGAGAACTAGTCTTGCCCTCCGGGGCAGCAGGGAACAAGTCCTTGCGCTCTTCTACCTGAAATGCTTTCAACACTGGAAAAAATTATATAAATGCCAACTATCATCATCATCTTCCAAAAAGATATTTTTTCTGTATTTGCTAAATGAGGAACAAGCCAGGTACTTAAAACTATCTGCAATTTGACCCATTTCCAAGAAGACTGATGAGCAACGAGAGAATGGTGTATTATCCGACAACAGAATTCACTCAGCTAATACCCAGGAAGTCCTTATAACCTGCCCACTATCTGCATCTGTATAACCTAGGCGATTCAAGGAGTAACTGGAGAAACCTCCCTCCTTCCACATACACACATGAGAAGGACAATAATCTTTTAAATCACCATCTTTCCCTTGAACACTGTCTTTGCTAATGCTCAACCAGAGCTCTGATCTGGGGATACAGAAACAAAGGAGGAATGGAAACAACAGGGGATAAAGAAACAACATCTAAAACAGGGATGGCCATCTGGCCCAGCTTCCACAGCAATTTTATTCAGCCTGAATTCGCTGCCAGGCCTCCTGATATGGTGGAAAAACCCAAAAGTGACATGGGATAGTTCTAGGAATTGCTGGAAACTCTACAGGCTCAACTTGTCATCTGTAAGCTTGAAAGATCAATCTGATTTTATTCAAGATGTAATAAGTATTAGGATTTAATGGCTGAAAAAGGACTCCTTACCAATCCTCTCCTAATGTCTCATAGTTTATCCTGTCCCCACCGATTTGTATCAAAGCAGAGGTTCTCAAATTTTCTGAAATGAGACCCACTTTTGAATTTACCAAAGTTTTCAGGCACACCTAGTTGCAAATTAACCCCAAGCAACTGTCCCACTCCCAAAATAAAATATAGCAATCTCACATAAATTAACACTAAAAAAGTTTATATTTTATGCTTCATATTTACCGAGCAGCCATTTTGCGCACTCTGCAAAGGAAACCCCAAATTTGCCATCGGGTTTTTCAGAGCCCCTCTTCCAACTCACCCTGTTCTTCTCTCCTAGCCTCCTGCCTACCTGCAAACGAGTTGGTACATACTTCTGGGTCCCAACATACAGTTTGAGGAAAAAAGTCATTAAAGGGAACCCGCACCATTATCCTCTCAGGTCCAAAGCACTATTCCCAGACACAATTCCACATTCTTAGGCATGACTCTTTGGCGGCTTCCTGAAGGCTCCTGTCCCTTAGCACTGCAGAACTCTTTTAATGTTCCCAGGAGCTAAAAAATGGAGGAACTGAGTGCTATTCTACTAGAGTTGGGTTTTTTGTAAGTTTTCCCAGTTACATTTGCAAGATAATTGAAATTGTTTTCCGAAACTGAGAGAGATCTTCAGCACTTTAATGTCCAGAACTTGCTTTGAGTTTTGTATGTAATTCCACAGCGTATGTGGTCTATAGCTAAAGAGCTCTTTACTGTTTGATAGCACTGACTTTATTATGGAGTTTGAATGTCCGCATGGGAACATTGTCATTGTGACTATGAGGCAATATACTTCTCAAGAGGAGAATGACCCACAAAAACATAGAAATTGGCCAATTTTGCTCTAGAATCATTGTACTTTCCCCAGACTTTAAATAGCGCAATAACTTTTTTTTTGAGGTAGTGCACGATGATTAAACAGCTGGAGAGCTATTTGTACACCAAAGAACTTTTTATATTTGCTATCTGTGCAATCATATTTTCTTGAGACTGTTACATGTAGCTTTGCCATTATGTGACAATGAAGCTAGCATAGATCTGGGGCACAGTCAGCAAAACTGGGCTAGGCCACTAATGGAAAAAATTTATACTGTTAAGACACAAGGCAATAATTTATTTTAGGGCACACTCTGAACAAGAACTTTAAGGAACAGGAGAAATACAAGTTGGGATGGGTTGTAGAATAATGCCAGGACATCTCCCGTCTTGAGGCTAGAACCCAGCTAAGAAAAGTGTGTTCCACAAAGTGCTCTTCTGGTGTAGAAAAAACAAGCGTGTCCCAGATTGGCAGGTAGTATGGTCAAGACTGGCCAAACCAGGCATATATAGTATGCTTGGCTTCTATCAGCGGGACAGAGACACATGTACTCCAAGGCCCTAGTTCTGGCTAGAGATGAAGCCCCTCAAGCCACACCAAATTGTATCAAGGACCCTTGACTGAAGGACTTATGCTTCACAAAGGGTTCTAGATATATCAATCCACAGCTGTTTCACAAATATGACATAGAAGTCTCTCTCATTACTCTCCAACAAAGTGGACCCTGATGCAAGTATAGGAGAGTCAACATTCTCCAGCAACTAATCTGCATGTTTTCCGGCAAGTGTTCTGAGGTAATATGGAAGGTAGGCAACTGTGGCCAGTGGAAACTCTATGAGCTTCTAGACTTTAAAAGGAAACCAATTATGGAAGACATTCTCCTTCACCAAGGAACTCCAGAATTCTTCCTGTTACATGTTTATCCTGCCCTTCGTCCCAAGAGCTCAGTTGGACATACATGTTTTCCTCCTCCTCCATTTTATCCTCACCCCTATGAGACAGGTTAGTGTAAAAGACAGTGACTGGCTCCAGATTACCCCGTAAATTTCATAACCAAGTGAAAAATTTAACCTCGGCTCTCCCCCAATCCTTGGCTGACACTCTGAACACAACACACTGGCTGTACTGGTTGAACAAAACAGATTAAAAAGATGGGTGGTGAGGGGGAGCAGGAAAGTTTAGGGTGCCCATCTTGGCCATTCATATCCCCAATTAGACTATTATAAAGCAAAACAGTAAGATATACCACACAGCAAGTATAAAAAGGATAGGGCTGATAAGCCCCTTGGGATTTGGGGACATTCCAACTTGAAGATAGTGTTGATAGTATACCCCGCGTGCGGGGAGGGTGGGGTATAAATGAAATGAAATAAAAAATAAAATAAAATAAAATTGACATCATTATTACAATTTTCATTCATTGCCCAATGCTTCACTCAACTTGGGCTTCTCTGAATCAAGGGTCAGAATTGATCTTTATCCATATAAGACCAGACATGTGCTGAAAAAAAGTCTGACGACTTCTTCACAGACCACAATTGACTCTGAGGGAGATTTCATGTGTTACACTTTCCCCATTCCATGCAGGAAGCAAAGTCAATATGAAGATTATTGCCATGTGTGGCCATCAGATATCTATAAATATCTATACACACACACACACACACAAGAACACCCATGGACTGAAAACAGTGGCTGTTCTATATAAATTACCAGTTATCATCAGCACGCTGGCATCAAACAATATTCAAGACCAACTGGAGAAATTCTGCTCAGAAATAGACACAGCTAAATATTAACAGGAAAACTCACTACTTACAAGTATTGCAGCCTAAACAAAGTTGCATCTTTCTAAGCCCATTGACTTCAATGGACTTAGAAATGTATAACATAGGATTCCAATGTTAGTGTGACAGAAGTCTGTGTGTGTGTGGACTATTAATCAGAATTCATATATTCATTAGGAAAGAAAGGAATCACATTTTTCCTGCACAGAAAAGTCAGTCCTTAGAATATAGAGCTTCTTGCATAAATTATTCCCTACAAAGCAAATGAAAAAAGTGCTCTCGGAACAGTGCCTTACCATATACAAATCCTTGCCGACTCCTAAATACTTTCCATTCCCGCAGCCAACATCAGCCACCACAGCTCCACACGGTAAGCCACTAAGGAATTCAACTACTCGTGGCCAAGGGCTGTGTCTGGTGTTGCTGAAATGCCCAGCAATTTCCTCATAAACCTCATGGACGTACTTCTCCTCTAGCTTCGAAGCGTCGCTATCACTGACAGGGAATGAAGGCGCTGTATCTTTACGCTGACTGTCACACACAGAAGGGTAAACTAGGAAAAAAGGATAACTTTTTTTGAGGAATAGCATACTTTGAACCAGAATATTCCTTTTTTGTTACAAAGGAGAACAATGAAAGCTGAAAACAGTACTGCAAATTTAGAATTTTAAAAGGCAAACTAATAATGAAAATATCAACCCTTCATATCCCTGAAAAGGTCTTCCCCCTCTGGCAATTTAGGCCTTATCCACCAGTTTAAATGGGGGCACCACAAGAGGATCCAGGTGGTGCTATGGACATATGGTTCACCTCTCTTCCACAGCAGCTGAATGGCAGGATTCAAACAGCTGCAAGTAGCATTCCATGTACACATGGGAGCTTTTCAGCTTCTCCCTTCCCACCACCATTCCCTGGTCCAGGAAGACCTTCTGGAGATGCATCCCAAGAGGTACCACACAAGGGACTACCAACAGAATGTGAAATCACTAAGTCAAGCTTGAAAAGACAGGATTACAGTTAGTGTGCTTGCTAAAATGGCCAGATTTTCAATGATTAGCGGCACATTTTACAGATTAAATTAACTGATCTTTGATAATCTTATGAGCACCAATGCAAGCCCCAAACTGGTATGATTACGCACCAAGGCACAAAATAGTGCTACAACAGTATCTTCCAGAAATTCATATTTTGCAAACTGGGAGCCAGCTTCAAGTACACATGCTCTTAATATTCCTTTCTACTCACTCCAGAGCAAATTCCCACCCATCCCCTTTTATCAGCATTAGGCATAGTTTATGCACCAACACTATGGTTAATGCTTACTTGAAACCATAAGCCCCTTATTAAGGTGATGGATGGGGTATGAATATTTCAAATAGACAGGTAAGATTCTGCTGAAATCATGGTCCACAAATCCACAACATGATGGCTTCAAATTCTGGTTTCTAATGGAACTGTGGTCACCATAAACCATGGTTAGCACTGGTACATATGCAGTTCTTAGCCATGGTTTATGCTAAGAAAGGAAGAAAGGATAATTTTTACTCCGGAGAGGATAGCCAGGAAGGGAGAGGGATTACAGTTTCCTGAGGCCATTTTCTAATCTGCAAACCCTGGTTTGCCGGAAAGCAGCTAACAACTCAAACTGTACAGCTGTGCTATGCACAGGGGTCATTTCCTGCAGGAGCGCACAGGAGCAGAGCTCCGGCAGTAAAGAGCCCAGGGAGCGGGCACATGCAACAAGCCCCACCCCCTGCTCCCAGCAGCCCTCAGTCAGAGCAAGAAGCAGCCAGGTAAGCTGCAGAGCTCCCCCCGGCCCCCCAGTCCAAACCAGTCCAGTGGCACCTTTAAGACCAAGTTTTATTCAGGGACAAGCTCTCCCTCCTCTGCCAGGACAGATCTGCCCGTCCCGTCCCCCCCCCCCCAATAGCTAGCAATCCAAAACAGTCCAGTGGAGCCTGAGCGGTGGGTGGTGCCTTCTGACACACTTCCGGTGATGTCAGGGGGGGTGGCCTATGCAAATGAGTTATGCTAATGAGCTCCGGAAGCTTTGTTTCTACGAAATGACCCCTGGCTATGCATATTCAAATGTGATCACTGCTGAAAACCTCAATACTTCTCTACATGATTCACACTAGATTTAATTTGAGTTATGCCAGAGATTCGAAAGCTTACCACAATTGCAAGGACTTCTCCTCACTTTTCTGAATGTAAAAGACGTCCTTTTCCCTCTTTTGTTTAAGGTTAAATCTCCAATGTTTGCAGACACAGTTCCCACTTTCCATCCTCCAGATGCTTGAACAATATCAAACTTCCTGGGTGTGATGCTTAAACATAAAACAATCATTAGGTTTTAGGTAGAGTTCTTACATTTGCTTACAAAGCTCATTGTAATTCAATTATATTTAGGGCAATAGCTGTGGCTCAGTGGCTGGGCATTTGCTTTGCATGCAAAAGAACCAGATTCAAACCTTGGCACCACCAATTACAGACTGCATGTGACCGTTGCTGGAGAAGACCCCGCCCTGCCTGAGATCATGCAGAGATGGTGGCAGCCAGAGTAGACAATACTGAGCTATATGGATTAACACCCTGACTCAATAGAAGGAAGCTTAATGAATTCAACCTATCTGACGAAATAGTTCTTTAAAATCCTGTGAAATACGAAGACCTGAATATCTATGGCCAATTTCGCACGAAACAACTAAAATGATATTCTTTCTTCTGTATATGTAAGATTTTTTTGTGCCACCTAATATTTATACAGATGAACTGCTGAGATTATTTTCAGACTTTCATTTTATGCTTAAACTGGGTAGACTCCAACATGCATAGTTATCCCTACTGCAGGCAGGAAAGGAGAAACATATGCAGATGGACCCACAAATTTACATAATAATTCCAGAGCAGCAGCCATGTTAGTCTGTGTTAAATGCTGACAAAGTCATTTCTGACTTATGGAGACCCTATGAATTAATGACCTTCAAAACTTCCTATCATTAACAGCCTTGCTCAGGTCTTGCTTGAATCAATCCACCTCATGTTGCGTCTTCCTCTTTTCCTCCTTAAAGACTGATAACATTTATTCCACGCATAAATTTTCGTGAACTCTTACTCACAAAAACTCACATGGCTATCAATGCTGTTAGTCTTTCATAAGCCACCAGACTTCTGTTTTGTTTTTTCTTCTGTTTTATTACTTGCAATTTGTGAGAATGACCAGCCCCCAATGCAAATTTTATTCAGCTCTCAGTGAATCTGATCAAAACTACCAGATGCCTTGCTCTAATGGGCCTGCTCTGATGTGAGCACAGGGGTCTGTGCTTTCCCACTGTCATCTATGAAATGGTGGAAACTGAGATTTCACACCTGTGCTCAGAGATCATTCTTTAGCATTGACAATAATGACACAGCCCCTGTTAGCCCAGGGCTGTTCAGGGGAATAGAATTCAGACAGATGTGGATTATGCCCTGGGCAATTCAGATTGGGGTGTTGGAACTATTATGTTATACATTTAGCAAGTAAATTTTACAGACCACATATTAGGCACTTGCAGACATGCTAAATAATGCAGTTTCAATACACTTCAGCAGCCTTTTGAAAGTAGATTTTGCCATTTCACACAGTAAACTCCAGTTGCAAAGTGCACTGAAAGTGGATTGAAAGTGCGTTATTTAGTGTGTGTGAAAATTCCCTATATATATTTGAAGTGTGTATATATAAAGCTTTTTCAAGCTTGTGCTTACAAGAAACATGTTGTGCGGTGGTTGGGAATGGCCCACAGAAGAAAAATAATAGTTTCTGACATAGGAACTGTGTTGTGGTTAGAGGTATGGAGTTGAAAACCTGGGTTCAAACCCCTGCTCAGGTTCTGAAACTTACTGGATGACATTGCACCACACATATCCTCTCAATGTAACCTCCCTCACAGGGTAGTTGTATGTAAGGGAAAGAACACGTACATCACCCAGAGCTTCTTGGAGGAAGGGTGGAACATAAATGTCACAAATAAATGAGCAATTCCACCACAAAGCAGATCTCTCACCATAAAAATGACAAAAAGAAAGGAAGCCATGAAATTTTAAAAAGCAATGAACAGAGAGCAGACAGAGAGAGCAGCAGAAACTCATTTCCCCAGGCAGTCTTATCTTGTTTTTTTTAAAAACAGAGGAGTGTAGAATCATTCAGATTCCTCAGGGAAATCCTGCAGAATTTCAAGTCAGCTCATACGGAGCCTTTTCTTCAGTAATCAGTGATATTAATGCAGAATTTTCCTCAGGAAGAAAAAAAATGGGTTCTGATGGAGACACCTGGATTGAAATCCCCCCAGAACTGTTGGCTTCAAAAGTCATCAGCACTTGACTCCCAGCAAGACAAGCAGTCAGTCTGTTATTGACTTCTTTGCTGGTGAGCTAACATTCAGACCTGTCAGAATATACTACAGCAAGAAAAATAATATTATGAAGCCAAAACACACGCACATAACTATGACACCCCCGTCCACTTCCCTCCCTCAGAGGCAAGATTTTCCCTCTGTTTTTCTTTCCCTTTCTTGTGACTGAGCCACCCTAGTTATCTGTTTTCTTCTTTCATGAAGAATTATCATGAGAACATAAGAGATGCCAATGTTGGATCAGGCCAAAGGCCCATCCAGTCCAACACTCTGTCACACAGTGGCCAAAAATACCAGGTGCCATCAGGAGGTCCAGCAGTGGGGCCAGGACATTAGAAGCCCTCCCACTGTTGACCCCCCCCCCAAGCACCAAGAAGACAGAGCATCACTTGCCCCAGAGTTCCTATAGCCACTGATGGACCTCTGCTCCATATGCTTATCTAATTCCCTTTTGAAGCCGTCCATGCTTGTAGCCGCCACCACTTCCTGTGGCAGTGAATTCCAAGTGTTAATCACTCTTTGGGTGAAGAAGTACTTCCTTTTATCTGTTCTAACCTGACCGCTCAGCAGTTTCATGGAGTGCCCACGAGTTCTTGTATTGTGAGAAAGGGAGAAAAGTACCTCTTTCTCTACCTGCTCTATCCCATGCACAATCCTATAAACCTCAATCATGTCACCCCTCAGTCATCATTTCTCCAAGCTAAAGAGCCCTAAGCGCTGTCCCACCCTGTCACAGTACATTATTTTGGCTGTCTACTCAGCCTAGGAACCTGAGGGAATGAATGGCAGCCCCCTTTAACTTATACTACTTAAATGGCACTCAAGAAGTTCCTATATTCCAAATTAGCAAAATATTTTATTCAACATAGAGAGGAAAGGTCAGGTGAAATGGGGATAAAATTTCTTAGGTAACTCTATATAGATAACTCTGAGGTAATATCTATACATGCACAGACTTTAGTTCTTATGTTTCAGGCTAATGAGGCTTTCTTAAGCTTTTCACGGTGACTTAAATCTTTATGTTGAGAGGCTTTTGTTCCAATGTTTTCTCCAAACACTTCAGTATACTTTTCTTGAGTATTCTCTCCCTCTTTTGGATTCCAGAAGGCTTGTACTCTCTTTCCAGTACCCAAACTCCTCCTTTTGAAGCACCAGTACCCAGCTTGAGTTTTTAACTGACCCTTAAGTTCTCTAAAAGCAGTTTCTAACCCCATCAGACCAGGGATCTCTGTTAGGGATGGGCATGAACCGGCTCATGAACCTAATTTCGTTTTTCATGGAGATTTGTGCCGTTTGTGCACAAATGAAGTCCAAGTGGTGAGTTTGTCTATTTCCAAGTGAACTTGGACTTCACTTGTGTGTGCTGTGCGGCTTGCAAAAGCTATTTAAAGGGAATGTTCCCTTTAAATGGCTTTTGCAAGATCTCTCCCCCCCCCCCCGTTCATTCAGTTGGCCTCGGAGAGCAACCACCAGCAGAAAGGAGGGAGGGATGATCTCCCCCCCCATTCTGGTTCATTAAATGGGGAGGATTGTGAAGATTCACGGTTTGTGTGACCCAACGAACCATGAATTGGGATGAGCCTCCATTTTCCTGGTTTGTGCCCTTCTCTAATCTCTGTACTTTTCAGAACTATCACCCTGTTTAGACCTTCTCTCTCTAGAACAGTGGTTCTCAACCTGTGGGTCACGACCCCTTTGGGGGTTGAACGACCCTTTCACAGGGGTCTCCTAAGACCATCGGAAAACATAAATTTTCGATGGTCTTATGATAGTGACGAAAACAATTTTATGGTTAGGGATCACCACAACATGAGGAACTGTATTAAAGGGTCGCGGCATTAGGAAGGTTGAGAACCACTGCTCTAGAAGATCTATCCCCTTAACTTGGCCTGAATGGGAGTCTCCGTCAAACTACCCACTCATTATTGCCAACTTTCCCCAGTTCTCTTGTCTGTGTTAAACTCAGTGAGGGCTGAATTCCGAATAAATTCTCCTCCTTAACATTCAGCTCTAAAGTCTCTTTCTGTTCAGCTGATGCTAACCAATCAGATTGCTTGGAGCAGCCTGTCACTCAAGGCTCTCTGTTTCTGTGATGAATTAACTCTTCACAGTCTCTCAAAGTTTATACTTGCAAGTCCAAGCTGCCCTATCCTATCTTCAGAGAGAAGGCCTACTCATAGCCCAAAATATCCCTACCAATGACAATCACTCCTCCAGCTCTATCACTCTTGTTCCCTTTAAAGGTCTACAACTCCATCACCTCCCCCTTGACACCTCCCATAGCTGGCATTCCCACCCACATCACTTCCATGACACCAGTCTCTCTTCCTCCAAAACCCTACTTCAAAATCCCCATTTTATTTGGAGCCTCTTTAGTCCTGACCCCTTACTGAAATTGAGCCCCAAGTTACTTGCAATTGTGCCTGTACATATACTTTCCCTGTTTCTCTTGCTTTGTCTTTTCTTCCCTGTCTTCCCTGCTGCCAACATTTAAATTGTAAGCTGGGGGGGGGCTTCCTTTTTCACTTGTGTTACTTTGCAATGTGCCACACAGACCCATGGTGTTTGCTTACACCAGCACAGTATAGTGGTTACAGAACTGGAACAAGGACCTGGGAGACCCAAGTCCAAATCTCTACTCTGCTATGGAAGCTCACTGGGTGGCCTTGGACCTGTTACTCTCTTTGTTACTGTTGCTATGAGGGTAACGTGGAGAAGGGACAAATGATGCTGTAAGCCATTTTGGGTCCCCACGGGGGAGATCAGTAGGGTATAGATAAATAAATAAATAAACTAATAAGGGTAAACCAGAAACACATTCACTGGCTTCTCCTAACAAACAGCAGGGAAGACAGTAATTATTCTGACACTTCACTGGTTTTAGGCTTGCAATATAATTAATAGATGAACTTCAACACCTACCCATGGGTCCAAAGGTATCTGGATTCTCCACTCATCAAAAGTAAACTGCGTTGAGGCAGCATCACTGCCACTGCCTGTCCATCTGGATGCTTGAAGTCCATCACAATCTGCAAATAAAGGATAGAATAAGCCAGCAATCCTTGGAACTGGCCATATATAGTGAAGATCTGTTTTTTTTTCAATCTGCAGAGTTTGGGAATAATTTTTTTGTGTGTATGCCCAAAAGCTGGGCTGGCTTGCGTATGCTGCCTTGAGCCACCATGGCCGGCATTTTAATTGAAATAAAGAGTTCTGGCAATAGGGTACGTCCCCACCTTCCCAACAGATAGCAAAGACTTTTGGGGAGATTCCAGATGACAGAATAGCCCAGCAAGGTCCCCTCCAGGGTGTACTCTGAAGCTACAATGCACCTCTAACCCCTTCTTGGATATTTGGATGGTAACTTTCACTAATACCATTTTCAAAAGAGCAAGAACTAAGAATATGCTTTCATTGAATGGGAGAGCAAGAGGTGTTAAGCATACAACACAAGAAGCCACCAAGAGGGCCAACAAGTCTTCATTACTGGAAGAAATGAGGGCAGAAGGAAAACTCTATAGCATTATACCCTCCCCTCCCCAAACCCCACCCTCCCAAGGCTCCCACACACACACACACACACAAAGTATCCAGGAATTTCCCAAGCCAGAGCTGGAAACCCTACAACAGGGTATATGCCACCAAAACATGACAAGAGCCCACAAACCCTGATTTAGAGGGAAGATTAAGGCAATGCCAGATACTTATGGGCTGTCATGGGTCAGCCAGGACTCAGGAACCGTAAGGACTCCTCAGCAGAAGAATTCAGCTTAGACTGACCCTAGAGTCTGACACTGGCCACGACAGAAAGTCACTGATGAACACCAGAGATCAGAAGGGGCTACCCTGATCTCTGTAATGCAGTAGAATCCCTGCTGCATGCCCTGGACATTCCCAACGAAGAAATGCAACACTTCATATGCTATTAAGGCAGGGTACAAATGAATTAAATAAATAAATATTTTGTTCACGCCAGAGCTCCGGCTTCAGAGTGGCTGTCCATTAAACATTTTGAAGCCCAAATCCAAGGAGCTACTTTGGGGGGAGAAACAATGATGGCACAGTACTCCTTTCGCAAAGAGCATGCTTGCTCTACCTAAGAGACCCACAGCCAATACCTGTGGCCTGCTGGGCTGCAAAAAAAGAGATTTATCAACCTGCTAGGGGGATGCTGATTTTGGCAGGCAGACTAAGGCTGTCTCGGAAGACTGCAGGCAGAGCGGGCCTCACACAGATTAAACACTGCTTCTCTCTTTGAAAAAAAATTCAGAGGGGAGCACTTCACAAAGTTAGACATTTTCAGTGTCTGTCTGGCAACTGACACACACAATGCATCGTTAGTGCCTCCAATTTCCACATCTGCGAGAGGCTTGCTTCCCCCCCGGATAATGTTATCTTGAAGACTTTTTTTTTTAAAAAAAAGTAATTTCTATCATTCTTTGTAGCACAATAATAAGAAAAATTAACCCTGCTGTGATTTTGAAGAATTCTATTCCCACCCACCCCACAGCGAGGCCACTGCTGAAGGAGACGCGATAACGCGCCCCTATAGCTCTTTGTAAGTCTTTCTCCTAGCCGAACATCCCAAGCTGCCATTTCTTTGTCTCACTCTCCCTCACACGCCCACAGACACAAAGGCAGATTAAGGTTTCTGGACCTCTTTTTTTTTTTTTTAATTCACTACAGCCTCGCAATCAATAGTGCTACTTCTGCCACGGCCAAATCAATCCGCCTCATGACAGCTTTCCTCCACAGGAGCTATTTCCAATTACTATTTTCGTTTTTTACCCATTTTCTTTATTCTCAGAGGTGGCAAAGTCAATAAAGATCAAATTTCCAACTCGCCTATGGTGTGCCTCACCAGGGTGTGCAGTCAATAATTTTAAAAAGGGGGTGGGAGGAAACTGCTGGGGGGGATGTTTTCAATCCCATACAACCCTTTATAATATTTCTCTGCAACTATATGGAAAGGGGGGAGGCGTACACAGGCTCACCACCCAGCCACTCCCCTGAAAGTGCGAGAGAAACGTATGAACTAATAATAATGCTCCTTAGTGTAAACATGACGTTGGAGGGGAGGTTCATGACAAGGGGATATGTGAAGCTATTTCTAAAAACACTGAGGCGTCAAAGCAAACACCTGCATCCTGAATGCTGGTCCAGTTGCATAAGACATAGACAAAGTAACGTGGCGGGGGGACAATGAAGAACGGGGTGGGAGAAAAGGGTATTTCTTAAAGGTTTAAAAGTTCTGCACAGCTGAAATTACATTTGGCGGGGCACAAAAGAGACAGTGGGGAAATCATTGTTAAAAGAGGCTATATAAAGTGAGTCATTGTTTAGCAGCATTAATAGCTGCTGTTACGTTGGAACTGGGAATAGGAGATGCAATGTCAATTTGAAAAAAGAGAGAGATGTAGTAACCTATAAAGTGATCTTGTTAACTGGGCCAAGTTCTAAGGGTGTAGAAACATATCCACGTCTAGGTTATTATAAACAACTCTTCATCAGGTAGATCTGAGCAGCTCAAAAGCTTGCAGACTCCAACAACAGAAGCTGCAGAAAGGCAAGATATCAATGAGCTGGTTTTGAACGTGACTCTTCAAAGGTGCAAAAAAGAGACTGGAACACACAAACATGAAGAACAGCTAGATTCAGGTCCAGTTAGCACCTTAAGAGACCAACAAGATTTTTTTGGGGATGGAAGCTTTTGACAGTCAAAGCTCCATTCATCAGAGCTCCCTACTGTCAGAGCTTTTGAGAACCAAAGCTTCCAACTGTAGACCAACTTGGCTACCCTCTGATAACATGAAAAATTTTCTGAAAGTTGCTCTACATCAAGAACAGGCAATATTCTGGTTGGATGTGGCCATGGAGGTAATTTCATCTCCCTCTCCCACCCCAGCCCCCTGGAGCTTTACATTTAAATCAAGGCGTTGGATAACTTTGCCCACAGTTATCACTCCTAAAGAAAATAAAGATGGGCATATTCCACCCACTGGTGGACCTCCTGATGGCACTGGTATTTCTGGCCACTGTATGATACAGAGTGTTGGACTGGATGGGCCTTTGGCCTGATCCAACATTGGCGTCTCTTATGTTCTTAGATTTTAATGTTACACTTTGGTTTTACATGCTGTGTATTGGCTATCCCCAAACACACATGTGCTCAACAACAATGCAGCTGTTTTAGCTGAATAGTGGCGATTTTGTCATATAACCTGGCCAGATACAAAGGAGTCACACCATGTAGAACAGTGATCCCCAATATGGTGCCAACAGGTACCATAATCCTGCTGATGTGTTTCCTGATGCCCACTGCCTTCTACCCCAAAACCTCTCCTTCCCAAAGTGCAGTGCCAGTCTTGCCTTTCTTCCACCTCAATGGAGCAGGAGGTACTTCAGAGGACTCCAGGAGAAATCATATTTAGGTCTGCAAGGCACATCTTTACAGAAATGGTTGCCCCCATCATAGGAAGACAATGGGCTCAGAACCTCCCAGTGTTTTATGACTGTTCTATCACGCAAGAATGCCATTTTATGGTAATGTCTACTCCCCTTCCTCAAAATTTCAAAAGTGCCCACAGACTCAATAGGGTCGGGAACCTCTGGTGTAGGAAAACACACACACACACCCATTCCTTTATTGGATGACTATCTGAAGAACAGAGCATCCCTCAAGAACACTAAAGTGGGGTACCCCGGTGGTGAATGAATGTATGAATTAAAGTATATCTGGCTGAAAGAGTACAAACCATCTGTTGGAAGGGAGCAAAGCATGCTAGGAGAGAGAAACTGGTACCAACATGGACAAGTATGGCAGGGCTAGATTAGGAAAAAATGTTTCCAGAACAACATAAGATTAGTGAAAAGCAATAATGGCAGCCAAAGTTGGGCTGCTGAAAGTATCTTCCTATTTCCTTTTCAGAGGCAAAGAGGAGCAAGACCTACTGCCCAATCCTTTTATCTGGTGATGCTGGAGATTGAACCTGGGACCTTCTGCATGCATGACAGATCCCAACTATAATGCCCCAGTCACCCAATTGATTGCATTGATTTACACTGTAATAGTTTTGAGTCTCATTGAGAAAATGAATGTAAATACAAATGAATACATAAAAGTCATTTTGGTTTATCCGGGGATAAATCCTATCCTTTTGATTGGGCAGCTGGATGGCCACCTGGGAGAGTGGGTAGCTGCCATCCAGTGACAAATACCTGACGGAACCTTCCCACGTTTTAAAAGACACGGCTTGCCATTTCATCACCCGTCTGAAATGCCCATAACATCGGCTCAAATCATTCCCTGCTTCTCTTTTCCACTTGCTTATTTGGAATCAGAGCTTGCCTGCCATAAGCCACAAAGGATTCATTATTGCAAACCTGCTGCGGAGAACCTCCAGCTCCTAAGGGTGAGAGTTTAACAGTTTTCATTGCCTCCTGATCTCTCACGCTGACTGGTGTAGCTAGGACTTAATCGCTCCAGGAAAAGTAATGCAGGCTATGAGCACCTTCCGTGATTACAAAGCCAAGGATTCAGTTAGGCTTCCAGCATTGCCTGGTTTATTAAATTCCACCAACTGCCCACGCTCATCTTCTTACAAAAAGCTCCAGCAGCTTCCTCAGTTCCCCCTCCCTTCTTTCTATGAACAACAAGTATATCATTCTGTTTAGTCTTCATTTTTGTTTATGCCTTTTGAAGATTTTGCTAATGCCTTTTGAGGATTTAGCAATATCGGAACACACCTAGAACTCATAAATTCAGCACTGTAGGGGGGAGGGAGAAATGGGGTTGCAGATCAGGGCTTGGGGAATGTCAGGATATTTGGGGGGGGGAAGAAGAGCTGGGTTTATACCCCGCCCTTCACTCAGAGTGGTTTACAATATCCTCCTTTCCTTTCCCCTCCCCACAACAGACACCCTGTGAGGTGGGTGGGGCTGAGAGAGCTTTGAGAGAACTGCCCTTGAGAGAACAGCTCTGAGAGAACTTGGGACTGACCCAAGGTCACACCAGCAGTTGCATGTGGAG